ACCAGGAGGTATTGTATGCCAGGAGGCATTGTGTACCAGGAGGTATTGTGTACCAGGAGGTATTGTGTATCAGGAGGTATTGTGTACCAGGAGGTATTGTGTACCAGGAGGTATTGTGTATCAGGAGGTATTGTGTACCAGGAGGTATTGTGTACCAGGAGGTATTGTGTACCAGGAGGTATTGTGTATCAGGAGGTATTGTGTACGAGGAGGTATTGTGTACCAGGAGGTATTGTGTACCAGGAGGTATTGTGTATCAGGAGGTATTGTGTATCAGAGGTATTGTGTACCAGAGGTACTGTGTACCAGGAGGTATTGTGTACCAGGAGGTATTGTGTACCAGGAGGTATTGTGTATCAGGAGGTATTGTGTACCAGGAGGTATTGTGTACCAGGAGGTGCTGTGTACCAGGAGGTATTGTATGCCAGGAGGCATTGTGTACCAGGAGGTATTGTGTACCAGGAGGTATTGTGTATCAGGAGGTATTGTGTACCAGGAGGTATTGTGTACCAGGAGGTATTGTGTATCAGGAGGTATTGTGTACCAGGAGGTATTGTGTACCAGGAGGTATTGTGTACCAGGAGGTATTGTGTACCAGGAGGTATTGTGTACCTGGAGGTATTGTGTACCAGGAGGTATTGTGTACCAGGAGGTGTTGTGTATCAGGAGGTATTGTGTATCAGGAGGTATTGTGTACCAGGAGGTATTGTGTACCAGGAGGTATTGTGTACCAGGAGGTATTGTGTACGAGGAGGTATTGTGTACCAGGAGGCATTGTGTACCAGGAGGTATTATGTACTAGGAGGTATTGTGTACCAGGAGGTATTGTGTACGAGGAGGTATTGTGTACCAGGAGGTATTGTGTACAAGGAGGTATTGTGTACCAGGAGGTATTGTGTACCAGGAGGTATTGTGTACCAGGAGGTATTGTGTACCAGGAGGTATTGTGTATCAGGAGGTATTGTGTACCAGGAGGTATTGTGTACCAGGAGGTATTGTGTATCAGGTGGTATTGTGTACCAGGAGGTATTGTGTACCAGGAGGTATTGTGTACCAGGAGGTATTGTGTACGAGGAGGTATTGTGTACCAGGAGGTATTGTGTACCAGGAGGTATTGTGTATCAGGAGGTATTGTGTATCAGGAGGTATTGTGTACCAGGAGGTACTGTGTACCAGGAGGTATTGTGTACCAGGAGGTATTGTGTACCAGGAGGTATTGTGTACCAAGATGTATTGTGTACCAGGAGGTATTGTGTACCAGGAGGTATTGTGTACCTGGAGGTATTGTGTATCAGGAGGTATTGTGTATCAGGAGGTATTGTGTACCAGGAGGTATTGTGTACAAGGAGGTATTGTGTACAAGGATGTATTGTGTACCAGGAGGTATTGTGTATCAGGAGGTATTGTGTACCAGGAGGTATTGTGTATCAGGAGGTATTGTGTACCATGAGGTATTGTGTATCAAGAGGTACTGTGTACCAGGAGGTATTGTGTATCAGGAGGTATTGTGTATCAGGAGGTATTGTTATCAGGAGGTATTGTGTACCAGGAGGTATTGTGTATCAGGAGGTATTGTGTATCAGGAGGTACTGTGTATCAGGAGGTAGTGTTTACCAGGAGGTATTGTGTATCAGGAGGTATTGTGTATCAGGAGGTATTGTGTACCAGGAGGTATTGTGTATCAGGAGGTATTGTGTATCAGGAGGTATTGTGTATCAGGAGGTATTGTGTACCAGGAGGTATTGTGTATCAGGAGGTATTGTGTACCAGGAGTTATTGTGTATCAGGAGGTATTGTTTATCAGGAGGTACTGTGTACCAGGAGGTATTGTTTATCAGGAGGTACTGTGTACCAGGAGGTATTGTGTACCAGGAGGTATTGTGTATCAGGAGGTATTGTGTATCAGGAGGTATTGTGTACCAGGAGTTATTGTGTACCAGGAGGTATTGTGTACCAGGAGGTATTGTGTATCAGGAGGTATTGTGTAACAGGAGGTATTGTGTACCAGGAGGTATTGTGTATCAGGAGGTATTGTGTAACAGGAGGTATTGTGTACCAGGAGGTATTGTGTATGAGGAGGTATTGTGTATTCTGCTACACATTCCACGCAATATGCAACAGAATTATCAACAGACACTTTTGCAACCTTTGGGAGTGTTTACTGTGGAAACATTTCGCCACCTGGTGGCTTCCTCAGTCCGATACAGAGATTAATGGTGGAAGATGAGAAGGAGTGTGAGGTAATCATACCCTCAACCTGGAGTCGATGTGTTCAATCCATCAATCCTGATGGACTGAACGCATCAACTCAAGGCTTAGGGACTGATTGCCTCAGACTCCTTCTCAACTTTCATCTTTCATTTCTTACTGAGGAAGGCACTTGTTGGCGAAATTTTTCCACAATAAATATTCCCAAATGTTGCATGGATTTACATCAGAATTGTAAATAAAATAAATAATTGAATAATATACAGAGTAAACAAGACTCGGGATACAAAAATATATAATTCATTAATATCCTGCTCTAGTTGTTCAGTGATCTGGGATGTGGGACACGATTATTATCCTTGTTTTAAATGTTAACATATCAAAATTCCCTTGATCCTGCGAGTTTGAACATAGTTGAACCAGTTATGATGGGTGGTACATCTGGGTACATGGCAGCGTGTCAGGTCACCAGGGGTCACAGACTCAGGGATGCCCTGAGGTGTTGCTCTGAGATGAGGTCAGGTGAAGCAGGAAGCCTGGTGTTGTTACGGCCGGTCCGCGAGCTGAATGAGCAAGTTGGGGTAGTAAGGTCATTCTGTATAGGCCGAGACTGGATGCAAGGGTTCTGCAAAGTCGCTATTTAGAACGAAAAGGCACAATACCGTGACTGGAACAAATCACAAATAACCCGCACATAGGAGAGAGAAGCTTACCATGATATTTCGTTCCGACCTGAACCATGTACTAGTCACAGTTACAAGTCACGTTATTAAGGCTTGCAAGCAGGCTTCGCGATCTCTTTTGCCTTCCTGGGTAGCTCACTGACTGAACTGATACATGACTGATGCGCTTTTGCGACCAGTTCGGTCATTGTCAGATTGGCACTGTGGAAACTATGTAAACACTCCAAACTCTGCGCTTTACCATAATGTCTCAATACGCACAATTTTCCCCAATCGTGAGGGTGGCAAGTGTGTGGTGTTGCATCTTACGACAATCAACAACTGAGGTGTCCAGCTTAGGCTGGCAGAATTCGACACCATGTGTCCAGTCACCTAACATCATGTCTGCAACTTATCCTATGTGACAGAATATGACCGGGAGGAAACAATAGCCAGCTTTTGTACCCACTTTCAACTATCACACAATAAGGTAGCAGCATATTGCTGATGCATCATTAAGAATAATCATGAAGGGGAGTTTCTCCCCGTCTCTCCTCCCACCCAAACAGATTTTTAGACTTCCTCTGTTTTTTTTTTCTTTCCAGCGTTTTTTATTCGCTTATAATACTTTCAATAACCTCCGTGGTGGAAATGGACGTCCGTGGATATAGTCAGCGTCCGTGTTCCCCAATTCAGCCCACAGTGGCCGTTTCAGAAGATGAAAAGGCCTGTTAGTAAGACCAAAACGGTCAGACTCCGTCACTGTTATTTCGTAAAAGGTTTTTTCGAAGTCGTTGACCAAAGTGAACACTGCCACTTAGCCCGACTCTCTTTTATGGTCATTGCTTTTGTCTTTTTGATCCTGACGCTATAATCATCACTATTATTTTAATAATAGTAATAACAGCAGCATAGTATTTTAGAGGCTATGATGTAGTGAAAGAAACTGTTGGTTTAAATTCTTGGGAATTTGTTATGAGGATGGTGGAGGCCCAGTTGCAGGTGGCTAGTGGAATGGACGGGAATTGAAAGTGAAGATTTACTGGAGTGGGGAAGTTGAGTTGGCTGTGTTGGAGGGGAAGTGGAAGGGGTTAGCTGGATATGGTGGGCTGGAAGGGGTGGGCTGGAGATGGTGGGCTGCTCACCGGTGTGACAGTTGACTCTGGACTCTAGCTTCAACAACGACAGCTGCTGCAGTCGTGTGAGGGTCGTTACGGAGTGACGCGTCTGTAACTACTGCAGGGTCGTTAAGAGGAACGAGCACCTGGCAGGTCGTTAAGAGAAACCAGCTTCTTCAACTAGTATTGATAGGTTATTAAGAGGAACCAGCACCTTGAACTAGTGGAGATAACTGATATAAAAAAAGACGGAGGCGGCGGAAAATATAAACACAAATGCGAATCCTAATTGACAATGTTTCGCCCTCACAGTGGGAACATGGCGACGTGAAGGACCAGGTGAGGAATGTTGAAGTTGATCGCTGAGAAGAGGCTGGATTTGAGAAGGACCTGCCCGGCATGGGCCAGTAGGTCTGTTGTGTAAGACAACGATGAAGGAGTTTCGTTGTAAGAGGTTCAGCTGTAAGAGGTACAGCACAGCTGAGTGATGATGCCAAGATCCTGCATCTCTGAGAGTCTTCTCTCCTGGCGATGAGTCTTGCATCTCTGTAGCTGATTGAATGATTGTGGAAGCTTAGGTATAAAACACAAGCATTCCTTAAATCGTCCGTTCTGCTGGCGTATTGGTGTTCTGAGATACATGGCTGGAGGTCACTGGATGTCTCGCCCAGGTATAACTGGTTGCAATCGTTGCTAAGGATTATGTATAATCTACAGAGGACTGAACCTTGTGATGTCCCTTACTAGTGATGTCTTTGATGGTAGTGGATGTAGAGGTGAATACTTGGCCTTCAATTAGTGATGGCAGGTCATTACACACACACACACACACACACACACACACACACACACACACACACACACACACACACACACACACACACACGTATATATGTGTGTATTCTGTTGCATGGTTTAGATACACTGTTCTAGCGTTATTCTGATATTCTCACTTGAGTTATCACTGTATTGACCAAAACATTTTCCTCTTTTCTTTCAGAGACAAACAAAGTGACTGAAGGAAGACAATAACACTGAAACAGCGTTAAACACAGTGAGTTTTTTTTTTCTAACTGTGACTTTGCAAAAAGGATAAAAGTTGGAATATTGTTTAGAAAAAATAATCACGAGTTGAATAATTTCATTTACTCAAGAAAATTATGGATGATTTCTCGTCTTGTGACTATCAAGTTCCTGATCTTGTGACTGTCCAGTTCCTGGTTCTGAGACTGTCCAGTTCCTGGTCTTGTGATTGTCCAGTTCCTGGTTCTGAGACTGTCCAGTTCCTGGTCTTGTGATTGTCTAGTTCCTGGTCCTGTTACTGTCCAGTTCCTGATCTTGTTACTGTCCAGCTCCTGATCTTGTTACTGTCCAGTTCCTGATCTTGTTACTGTCCAGTTCCTGATCTTGTTACTGTCCAGTTCCTGATCTTGTTACTATTCAGTTCCTGGTCTTGTGACTGTCCAGTTCCTGGTCTTGTGACTGTCCAGTTCCTGGTTCTGTCACTGCCCAGTTCCTGGTCCTGTCACTACCCAGTTCCTGGTCCTGTCACTGCCCAGTTCCTGGTCCTGTTACTGCTCAGTTTCTGGCCCTGTTATTGCCCAGTGCCTGTAAGTTCGTGAGAGGAAACTGTACCCAAACATCCAGTACTCAGTCCTGAAAAATAAGTTAGACCAAACTGTCGTTCCTTCAGGCAATTATCACCACCCTTAATCACCTACTGTGTAACCCATCAGTCAAAGGCTAATCACCTAGACATCAGTTCATCAAGGGCCGGGGAATCATCAGTTTGCAGTCCCGTGGTTCATGGTGTGGCACCCAGGAATGGTGGGCCGAGCAGCGTGGGCACGCTAGAGGTGCCTAGCAGTGCCAGCATGCAAGTGTGGGCGGTGCCACGGGCTGTGAGGGTGGCACTACTCCTACTGCTCCTCACCTCCTCCAACGTCAGCGCCCCGATACCCACTGATACAGGTGAGTGAGTTCTCTACACCACAAGACGGGCAGCCATCAGTAGTGTCCCTTAACTTGAACACTTATTAAAATAACGCGTCTGGAACACGTTCTGGCTACATACAGACGTTGGAGAAATAAAACCTAACAATATGACTGGTCTGGGACCGGGTCTAGATCACCGGGGGGAGGTTCGAGCCTCCACCAGACCAGCAGTGAATGACCCCACACTGGTCTATTGCTCTCTGATAGACAATGAAGACGAACCACAAAGATAAACACATAAACTTGCTACTTCTGGCACCGAATTACTTATACACGACACAGATCTTACCAGAGCCAGACACCGTAACACAGTAAGATACTGTAACATTTCTTACCTTCTCTACTATATGCAGTTCTCACCACACACACAGACACACACACAGATACAACACACACACACACACACACACACACACACACACACACACACACACATATATATATATATATATATATATATATATATATATATATATATATATATATATATATATATATATATATATATATATATATAATATATATACACTGTATGAGAGGTAGAGGTAGAGAGAGAGAGAGAGCCAGGAGCAGCCTCACTCACTCACACCACTTGAACTAATAACGCTCTGCTTTCATTTTTTTCACAAAATTCAATAAGCCTTTCCCTGGAAAAAGTGCCCCATCGCTCACTAACAGCTACTGCATTATTCACTTCTTTTTTCATTTCAATATTTTTTTTTTTGAAAGTGGCGACCAATTCCTTCAATATTTCAGACGTGGAACGTAAAATACTCTTCAAAAAAAATTTCATTTTGAACAACAGTAAAAATGTATAGGTAGTTTTGACCTTTATTTTTTTTAGGTCTCTCAGTTTGAAACTCTGTGCAGATTCCTCGATGAAAATTGTCTCGCTGTGAGCGTACGAAGGATCGAGTCCCATCCAGTCTTGTAGGTCACTGATTATCATGATATAAGCCAGGCAGACTGGCCGGCAGGTAGTCAGGCAGGGAGACAGACAGACGGGCAGGCTAGTAGGCAGACAGGCAGGCAAGCAGATAGACAGGCAGGCAAACAGTCAGACAGACAGGCAGGCAGGCAGACAGGCAGGGTAGCAGGCAAACAGGCAGGCGGACAGACAGACAGACAGGCAGGCAGGCAGGCATGCATACATTCAGGCAAGCAGACAGGCAGTCAGTCAGACAGTCAGACAGGCAGACAGTCAAGCAGAGAGACAAGTCTCGTTTATAAGTGTTGCTGCAAAACCATTTCACAAAAACCATTAGAGAAAAGTGGATTCAACATTCAGAGAATAACAACACACTAACTGCTAAACAGTTTAACTTTCCGTCTGCAAATTAATGTCAAACTCACTAAACAGAAGGGTGGACGGAAGGCTCGAACCTTAGTCCATAAGATATTTTGACAGAGTCTGCCACCCATTTCCAAAAAAAAAAAAAAAATTAATGGGGTTTATTGTATTTACCTGGAAGTCTAGTTTTTCTTTCAGTGGATAAGAAACTTGGGGAGAGTTATAAGAGGAACAATGTTAGCACGGGCGGATGTCACAAGTGGGGTGCCACAAGGGTCTGCACTTGTCCTAGTAATGTTTCTAATTTATATAAATGATTTATCAGAAGTAAATAAGGAATTTATATGAAAATGTTAGCAGACGATGCAAAAAAATCGTATGCGCAGCGTCAGCTGGCAGAGTCCAAGTGTCAGCTTCGGCAGGCTGAGATGACCCCTCAAGACGCACTTGAGCTGGCAGCTGAGTGTGCAGCTGAGGCGTCTCAAGCAGCCCTCATGTTCTAAGGAGGAAACGGCCAGACGGTAGAGCTCCGTTCTCTAGATGAAGCTAAGGGCCGTGAGCTCAATCCTCTCCGCCAAGCTGAAAAGAGTGATCACAGTAACTCCTTGTTTGTAGATAACTGGCCGGGAGAACCGACCGACAAGTTGATGAATTCGACACTTGTATAATACTTGGGGTTCTTTATTGTGGAAGAGAGACCAAAAACCCGCTAAAAAGGATAATAAAAACATATGGGAAAGAAGCCCTAACTCTCCTAAAGGCTCACAACGAAGCTGCCCGCAACTCTAACACTCTCAGTCAGCAGCAAGAAGAGCAGCGAGGAGAAAAGGATAAAGTTTTGAAGAAGGTCAAGAGAGAGAGAGAGCGAGAGATAGATAGATAGATAGATAGATAGATATATAGATAGATAGATAGATAGATAGATAGATAGATAGATAGATAGATAGATAGATAGATAGATAGATAGATAGAGAGAGAGAGAGAGAGAGAGAGAGAGAGAGAGATAGCGGGCACAAGAGGCAGAGGATTCTAATTCGTAGCCTTAAACGGGCGGAATCTAAGCATGAAGAGAGATCACAGCAGATGGAAGAGTGTATATAATGCTCTTTGAGGCTTTTTTTTAAGAAGCTTGACGAACTATATCAAGCTGGGGGGGGGAGCTTTGAGGAGCCTCAACGCCACAACAAGCAACGAGCAACTGCAGTTGTATTTAGAAAGTTGCCGAAGAGGACCGCCAGCTGTTTCACTAGTAGAGTGCTAAAACAGAGACTAAAATAGAGTTTCTAGCTAGTTTGGTGAAGCATCTCGCCCAAGGTTCTTTACTTCGACTACGAGGTTCTTTACTTCGACTACGAGGTTCTTTACTTCGACTACGAGGTTTTTTACTTCGACTACGAGGTTTTTTACTTCGACTACGAGGTTCTTTACTTCGACTACGAGGTTCTTTACCTCGACTACGAAGTTCTTTACTTCGACTACGAGGTTCTTTACTTCAACTACGAGGTTCTTTACCTCGACTACGAGGTTCTTTACTTCGACTACGAGGTTCTTTAACTCGACTACGAAGTTCTTTACTTCGACTACGAGGTTCTTTACTTCGACTACGAGGTTCTTTACTTCGACTACGAGGTTCTTTACCTCGACTACGAGGTTCTTTACCTCAAATACAAAAGATTCCTTCACGAAAACCCTCACCTCAGATTTTCTGTTGAGACTCAAAAATCCTTGCTTATCCGAGCATCAGCCAGGACCAGCGCTGGTCTCTGTGGACCAGTGATGGTTTCCCTGAACCAATGATGGTCTCCCTGGACCAGTGATGGTCTTTTTGGACCAATGATGCTCTCTCTGGATCAGTGATGGTCTCTCTGGATTAGTGCTGGTCTCGCTGGACCAGTGATGGTGTTCCTGGGCCAGTGCTGCTCTCCCTAGACCAGTGCTGATCTCCCTGGACCAGTGATGGTCTCCCTGGACCAGTGTTGGCCTCCCTCAACCAGTGATGGTCTCCCTGGACCAGTGATGGTCTCCCTGGACCAGTGATGGTCTCCCTGGACCAGTGATGGCCTCCCTGGACCAGTGAAGGTCTCCCTGAAGCAGTGGTGGTCTTCTTGGACCAGTGATGGTCTCCCTGGACCAGTGATGGTCTCCCTGGACCAGTGATGGTCTCCCTGGACCAGTGATGGTCTCCCTGGACCAATGATGGTCTCCCTGGACCAGCGAAGGTCTCCTTTTACCAGTGATGGTCTCCCTGGACCAGTGATGGTCTTCCTGGACCAGTGATGATCTCCTTGGACCAGTGATGGTCTCCCTGGACCAGTGATGGTCTCGTTGGACCAGTGATGGTCCCTTTGGACCAGTGATGATCTCTTTGGATCAGTGATGGTCTTCCTGGACCAGTGATGGTCTCCCTGGACCAGTGATGGTCTCCCTGGACCAGTGATGGTCTCCCTGGACCAATGATGGTCTCCCTGGACCAGTGAAGGTCTCCCTGAAGCAGTGGTGGTCTTCTTGGACCAGTGATGGTCTCCCTGGACCAGTGATGGTCTCCCTGGACCAGTGATGGTCTCCCTGGACCAGTGATGGTCTCCCTGGACCAATGATGGTCTCCCTGGACCAGCGAAGGTCTCCTTTTACCAGTGATGGTCTCCCTGGACCAGTGATGGTCTTCCTGGACCAGTGATGGTCTCCTTGGACCAGTGATGGTCTCCCTGGACCAGTGATGGTCTCGTTGGACCAGTGATGGTCCCTTTGGACCAGTGATGATCTCTTTGGATCAGTGATGGTCTTCCTGGACCAGTGATGGTCTCCCTGGACCAGTGATGGTCTCCCTGGACCAGTGATGGTCTCCTTGGACCAGTGATGGTCACCCTGGACCAGTGATTGTCTCCCTGGACCAGTGATGGTCTCCCTGGACCAGTGATGGTCTCCCTGAACCAGCGATGGTCTCCCTGGACCAGTGATGGTCTCCCTGGACCAGTGATGGTCTCCCTTGACCAGTGATGGTCTCCGTGGAACAGTGATGGTCTCCCTGGACCAGTGATGGTCTCCCTGGACCAGTGATCTTCTCCCTGGACCAGTGATGGTCTCCCTGGGCCAGTGAAGGTCTCCCTGAACCAGTGATGGTCTACCTGGACCAGTGATGGTCTCCCTGGACCAGTGATGGTCTCCCTGGACCAGTGATGGTCTCCCTGGACCAGTGATGGTCTCCCTGGGCCAGTGATGGTCTCCCTGGACCAGTGATCTTCTCCCTGGACCAGTGATGGTCTCCCTGGACCAGTGATCTTCTCCCTGGGCCAGTGATGGTCTCCCTGGACCAGTGATCTTCTCCCTGGGCCAGTGATGGTCTCCCTGGACCAGTGATCTTCTCCCTGGACCAGTGATGGTCTCCCTGGACCAGTGATCTTCTCCCTGGGCCAGTGATGGTCTCCCTGGACCAGTGATCTTCTCCCTGGGCCAGTGATCTTCTCCCTGGACCAGTGATGGTCTCCCTGGACCAGTGATGGTTAATAATGGTTCACGGAGATAATCAACATCTAATGGTTTTCCTGGACCAAGCCTTTTTTTTTTACTTAGGTACTGATTGTCTCCTGGGGTATCAGGTACTGATTGTCTCCTGGGGTATCAGGTACTGATTGTCTCCTGGAGTATCAAGTACTGATTGTCTCCTGGAGTATCAGGTACTGATTGT